AATTAGTTAAGATCCTCCAACAAATTGTCTCAGTGAAAACTTCTAGGAAATAATTTATAAGATCATCGACATTTAACTAGAAGCAGATAAGTTTCTGGCTCCAAGTTTATTGTTACTAACCATCTTTGGCTAGGTCATGTTCGTTTGGAATATGGCCTACATGAATGTAAAAGGAGACAGTCTCTGGTGTTCTGTTTGGATTATGAAAGCAGAACTTGTACATTCCACCTCTTGGAGCCTTGAACTCAAACTTGTCACCAGAAGTTCCCTTCAAGGAATGCACAGTGTTACCAGCTGGTGATGTCACCTACAAACATTTTGATATATTTCAGTAACAATCAAGTACTACAATCTTACCCCAAAAAAAAGATATAAACAACAAATTCCATATAAAAATGGAGTCATGCATGATGATGGAACATAGCCTGAACAGTCGAACCAGTGAGTGAGAACAAAAGCAACACCAACATGCAGATTATGATCTAAAGATTAATTTTCTTGTGCACCTTAAAAATGTTGACCTTCTACAGAAAAGAATCCGCAACAACGTTCAAAAGGATGATACAGATTGAAGAAAAGAACTTTTGCAAAATTTTGTTAAAGAAAACTGAAATGTTACAAAATTAAACATAATATAAGATAGCAATCATGTCAACTTGTTCATGGTTTGTTTAATTTTAAAGACCTGTTTCAGAAAGTTAAAGTACAATTATTCAGTTTTGTAAAATATAAAGAACTTAAAAGAGTGTCCATCTCCTGCTCTCTATTATCCACTTCATTTTACTCCTTAGAGGTTTCAAATGATCCAGCAGGCTCTTTGATAGAAGATAGAGGATTCCCATATATAACAGGTTTATTTATTCTTCTCTTACACCAATGTCTTGGATCAGTCAAATGTGCTTTTTTTCTTTTCATGATTCCCATATATGTATTTTCTTTTGGGCTGTCATGGATTGACTTTAACAGATACCAGTCAGACGGGCTAATCCAAATTGAGAGCAGAAAAACTTTCAGAACATCAACACCACTCAATTATATTATAAAGGGTAACCAGAAAGGCTAGTTAATTTACTCGCTAGCATCTCATACTACTCACCTATAACTAATAATAAGAATAAAATACACCTACCAACTTCATGTAGATCAGTGTTCATATTCAAGGTACCAATTTCTTTGATAAATAATTAGTTTATGAAAGTATCCATTTTATTGGGCCTTTAGGTTACAATGTCACATATTATGAAGGATGACAAGCAAGGAATGTTAGCCAAAAAATAAAAAAAGTAGGCAAAACTGTGCAGGATAACTTAAAGCTCTGAAGAATAGTAATTAGGTCCACTTCTTCAACGTAACTTCAAGATTATTGTGGTGGGAAGTACCTTTTAATTAAAAAAAGGTTAATACATATGCACAAGGAATAAAATCTTGGTCCTATACATATCGAACTGGCACCCATATCAGTATGGCACCAGTGTGTGTTGATATATCAACACTTGATATAAGGAGGCAATCAGCCAGACAAGTAGGAGGAGATAGCAGTGATGTGACAGAGTAGGAAGGAAGATCAGGCAAAGGAGAGGGAAGGGACTCTAACAGAAAAGAGAAAAAGAGAAGAAACAAGAAAACAAAGAAAAAGAAACTGCAACAACTGTTAGAAATGAAAAAAGAAAAAGAAATGATACCATAACCAGGTATGGACCAGCTTACAGTCCTTGTAAAGTGGCTTACCAGACTGTCCAACCCATGCCAGATTGAATTGGACAAAATTACATAGTCTGCATCCCAACTGGCTGTTTTACCAGCAAACACTGACCCATACCAACCAGTACAGGTGGCATTTTAAGCCATGTATGTTGAAAAGTCTTGATTTTGTCAAACTACATAGCCGGTCGATGCAACCATCTGCATGCAGATTACACAGAAACATGCAACTGTATCCATAAAGCATGCTTCAAATTCAAGTTGCGTAGATCAAATTAACCTTTAGATCCTAGGACTATTCAACTATCATCCTTGATACTTCAAATGCATTGTTTAGAGATGAACAGGGAGGAGACGCAGCACTAAGCCTGCTATCAAGTATATGCATCAAGCCATGGTAAATGTGGGGAAGAGATGAGGGCTGGAAGCAAAAGTCACTAAGCATGGTTTTTAAATTAAAGATTTACTTGTCTTTTGGAAAAAAATATTTTCCTTTCTCACAAGAAAGGGATTTCCTTTCTTATTCAATGAAAAAAGAGGGCATCCTCTGCATCAAGGACTCATTTTTAGCAATACAAAAAGCGAACAGGAGTATAGCAGCAGCCTTGATATGAGTTCAAGAACATGTCCAGAACTAGAAGAAACAAAGTATTGAGACATGAAAAGATTTGAACTTTCTACAACATAAAGCGAAATATCAGCAAATTTTAAGATTTGAGAAACCAATGATTAGATCTCAGTCAAGGCAGCCTGATGTTGACCTCCAATCGCATAAACCTCAGAAGAAAAATAAAAATTGAAACCCTTATTGCAAAGAGAAATCGGATGAACTTACGACAAGATCGATGCCAGGGTGATCGGAGTTCCAAAAGATATCGTGATCCACGACAACGAAATTGCCCGAGACGGTATCGCCTTCGTAGAGGACGAACTCGTAGACGCACTCCACGTCGTTGACGGTGACGGACAGAGCGGAGAGACGGCAGGGTACGGTCGCAAGGAGCCCGAGGATCAAGAAGACCTCCGCGAGTCCGACCGATCTCCTCGTCCTCTCCATTGAACGCCAAGCTTGATCTCGATCCCGTTTCCCCTCTCCTCTCCCTCTTTTCGTGGGGATTTCTCCTTCGATCCGGTTCTTCCAGCCGTAGGGTTTGGAAAGCCCTCAATCGAGCTCGTGAGGCGTTTCATTCATCGTATTTGTGTTTGTTTGAGCTTTTTTGTGAATTAGTCCCCCAACGTTTCCGTAATTGTTATTTATAATATCATAATATTCTTAGACGATTTTCCTAAAAAAAACCTCTTTTTTTTAGATTTTTTTTCCCAATTATTGTTTTTTTTTGTCTCTATTTTTTATAATCTCATAAATGGCTCTCACCACCATCAATTGTCTGGACCAATTATCTTTAAGAGAGGTCGAGCATCGTACCCTCCTTATGCATCGTAAATTATCAACCTTAAAACATTCGTCAATATTTCTCATATTTTGCCCCTACTTCCCCACCCCCCTACTCTCTCTATTGCTTCTATTTATTCATCATTTTTATCTTTTGTTGTTTGTCAATTAAGAAAGTAAAGTAGTTCGAAAAAGAAGCATAAACGATACTTAACACGATGAGTCACACAAAGAGAAAGAAGAGAAAGTCCATGCGACTAAAGCGATGAGAAGGGGCAGAGAATATGGGGTGAGAAGTAGAAGTAAGCTGAGTATAAGAGGGGCGAAAGTACCAAAATCAATGATCGTATTATGTAAGGAAGGCCCAATGATTAGTATAACAAATGGCGATGATACGAAGATCATTTTTATAATTATTTAAAAAAAATATAAACCGAATGAAGTTAGATTATTTCGATTTTTTTATATAAGTTTAAAGTGATATATTCAACTTTAGAGGGGTATATATGATGGAGAGTATATGAGAAAATGCCACACATTGGGTGAATGTAACTTATGACTATTTATTTAGTTATAGTTTGATGGTTAAGGTAACTCAAGTCTCACCACTAATATTTAATTATCTTACATATTCTAACTATGATATTTGTAAGTTCCCTATCATCCTTCATCTCTATCGAAAGTACATCTAATTGTTCAAGAAAAAAATTAATTTGTCATCCTCAATAATTCAATACATTCACCTCAATAATCTAATTTCTACAACACAAACTGTATATACAATTTACCTAATTATTTCAACCTACCTTGCAATCTCAAATGTAATTATGTTAATAGTTCTTCAAGAGAAGTATCATTTTACTGATGAATCTATGCAAATTATTGCTCCAGACTGATGAATTCACAATGTCAAGAAACACCTCATGACAGGCACCAACACATTCTAGTGTTCTCCAAATACAAGATTGCTTACAGTCTGCTCAATGCCAAAGAACACATTATGAGAGGCACCAACAAATTCTAGGATCCTCCAAATACAATATTGCTTACAGTCCGCTGCACTGATGCACTTTTGTTAGTAACACACTTGTTGTGCTACTTGTGATTTGATTGAGCTGCATGTGGTAGATTACAGCTTGTTGAAGTCAATCACCAGCAATTCTAGGATCCTCCAAAGACAATATTGCTTACAGTCTGCTCAATGCCAAAGAACACATTATGAGAGGCACCAACAAATTCTAGGATCCTCCAAATACAATATTGCTTACAGTCCGCTGCACTGATGCACTTTTGTTAGTAACACACTTGTGCTACTTGTGATTTGTATTGAGCTGCA